AAGCAGCTCAAAACCATCCATATTGTGACATTTGCTTCCTCCTTCCCATGGCCATGTCTATGTGTCCACCTTGGGTATAAAATATATGTAGTGCAATCTACATGACTCAATAGCAGGCAGCAGAGTCTATACCACCTTCAAGGGCAGGTTGGAGTCACTACTCAAGTCCAAACACACTTTTTGTCTCTTGTGTTTGGTGTATGTTTTTGCTAGGACAAGGTCCCAGGCACCCATAGAGGGGAAGGTGGGCAACTTGAGCCTAGGCACCTTACAGAGCCCCAAATGTGGCTTCAGCTGTAGTGTGGACAAGCCAATCATACCATGGCTGGGCTAGTCCATCACCATGTGTCCCCTTTAGTAGCTGTCATGTGGCTGGCATTGAACACACAGCTGATTTGTAGGCAAGCTTGGCTCCTGCACAGATGCCTGCCATCCTTCTGTTGGCTCTTTGGCAATACAGATGCAGCCATTAAGGCCAGGATGGTGTTGGTGAAATAACTCTTTCCAACGATAGATTTTGTGCCAGTGTCACTTCTTTTCATCTTATACTCAACTGTAACTAAATAAAATCAGCAGAGTTATAGTGTAAAAGAAAGATGTAAGAGGTGTCAGAATCAGAGAGTAACGTTGTTTGTGTTTTACTCTACAGTGAGTGAGAGCTAGTGTCTCCCCTGGTGTCCATAGGCATATCTCCATGGTCACTGAAACTATTCAGCACACGGGCTGGTGATCTGTCCCGGGGACTCTGGGAGTAAGTACTTCTGCTGGGCATCCTTCGCTGAAGTGAATGACTGCCTGTTCCTTGCCATGTCTTTCTCTCAGGATGAAATTTGAAGACTTCAAAGTGCATTTTGATAAAGTTGAGATCTGCAACCTGACTCCAGATGCCCTGGAAGACAACATTGCCCACAAGTGGGAGGTGACCATCCACCAGGGGAGCTGGGTCCGGGGGTCCACCGCAGGAGGATGTAGAAATTTTCTAGGTAAATAGATACTGCTTTGAAAATGAGAAGCAGGCACTGAAGTTTTTACCCACCCTCAGCCACCTCTCCTGTTACTCCATAGACAGAATTGTGGGTGCAGGCCAGGTCAGCTGAGTCTCAGCTAGCACAACTAGCCAAAGGGACAAATGTTCATATGGTCTCACTTGAGACTTTGCTGTAAGAGAGCTGCTTTCTTTGCTCTCGAGTTTGTTGGATCTGATTTGCCTCTCATTTACATTTGCATGAGCAGGACTAGTTCCAAATAAGTCACTTAAACTGCAGCAGTAAGTGTAAAATGAGACAAAAATCCATCTCAGCCAACGTGTTTGTGAGGCTCTGAAGTAGCATCAAGGATCTGAAGTGTGTAACTCCAGACTGGCACCAGCACTATGGGATCATTGTAGCGATGTACTTTTAACAAAATTCCATCTGACAACTTTATTTAAACCATGGTAACTCAATAAAATATCAGGCCTACATTTTTTTTTCTGCACTTAGCTCCAGGAAGGACTTTGGGATTTGGCTTATTTTCTGCAGAGCTTAGTGGAAAGAAGTATGACAGCTAATGGAAAAACTAAATTTGAGCAAAACCTCAGCTTAATTGTCCTTTTTGTCTTCTTTTTTTTTTTTTTAGTAGTTGTAGTGGTGGTATTATTATTCTGAGGCAAGAAACTCTCTGGTGTTCTTTACATTGGCAGACACTTTCTGGACAAATCCACAAATCAAGCTGCATTTGACAGAGACAGACGATGGGCAAGACGACTGCACGTTCATAGCAGCGCTGATGCAAAAGGATCGCCGTAAGCTCAAGAAGCTTGGTGCTGAAATGCTAACCATCGGCTACTCTATTTATGAGGTGCTCCGTTGCTTTTACAGTGCAGTAGCTACGCTATTAGTATTGTAATCTTCCTCTGGGTTTGTACCCCTGCCAGTCATCACGCATTTTTAGGGCCCTTACCCTCAAAATAATCTTCTCAGTTACATCAAGCCCCATAGAGAATTTTGACATGATTGGCATGGAGTCCTCTCAGAGGAGGATTTGGGAATCCCTACGGGGCCATGGGTTCCTAGGATAGGCTCGTTGACCCCATGATTCTGTTATCCCCTGCCTGGCTCCCCGGGAC